GTGTCTGTGTGTGTGTGTGTGTGTGTGTGTGTGTGTATTTTGATCCTTTGTAGCCTAAAATATGGAAAAGTCATGATTGTACCACAAACGGAAATCCAGAGAATGAGATTGGTTATGGCATATACATGTTTTGCAGTCATGAGAAACCATGTGAGCTCTGAGCACATCCGTCATCCAAACACTCGGTGGATATCTGTCTGTGTTTGGCCCGTTGTGGCCGCTCTGTAATCCCGCTCTATTAACACCTCCGACTCTCTTTGCTCTTAGCTGCTCTGCTCTCTCACTTCTGTCTATTTGTCTAAGGGTCGGTGACGTAGCCGAGTCCAGCTCCACAGGGACTGCAGCGATGGTATCTATGTCTGACTGTTATGACTATCCCTAATAAGAGCACAGAACCCTAAAACCACGGCTAACGGGGCAGACAGGATGTGGCTTAGATGTGTTCTTTTATTTTTCCACATTTTATAGCAGATGTTTTATGAGCTTGACGTTTCTGAATGATAGGGACTGATTGGTTTCATTTTTCTTTTGAGTAAAACATTTAATGCCCTAAGATGTAACATAAAGTATAGTTGAGCAAAAAAATTGCCATATGACAGCCCTTAAAGGTGAAGTGTGTGGTTTCTGCACAATCAGCAGCAACAAATATTTATGCAAAAATGTTTCCCAAACACTCCCCCCTGCCTGTCATTGGCTGGACAAACAGATAGCCCCGCCCCAAAGTCACGCTATTGGTTGTTGCTGTGTGAGGATTCTCAAACAAACATAACTGCCACAGAGTCACTATGTAAACAGTAAGTTTTTGTTTTTGTTTTTTTTTTACTTATAGTTGTCTGCATACTAAGCTAGGATTGGAGAAATCATTTTAAAAGAAAAAAAATGACATTAAAAAATCCCTAGAAAATAAAAAAGAGAAATAATTCAATTAAATAGAATATCCTAAAATTAAGGCGACACACTGTCATCTGCTTCCCGGCAGCTGCTAACAAGTATCATTTTTATAGATGGTTTGTCACAGATGGTCCAACAGATGTCTCTCTGGTCTTTAGCAAGTGTGTGTGTGTGAGCAAGTACCCATAGATGTGCTCCTTGTCAATCGTTACGCTGTCAACCAGGGCCTTGAGTGTGCTCTTTATAAAACATAAAGCCAAAGTACTTGAGTGTGTAAATCAGGGCTGAAATCTGAGCGTTGTGTCAGGCAGACAGAACAGACAGAAAGAGAGAGAGAGAGAGAAGCTTTCTCTTGAGATCGGATTCTGATGAGCATCATTAGTGGCGAATCCAACCCAAAGCAGCAAGACAGCTAAAATGCCTTTTCTAGGGAATAAAACTAGGCATGTTGAAAGCAGAAATACGAATTTCTTGAGGGAAAAAAAAAGCCTCCTGAAAGCATGATGTGTAGCTGATGGCTTTGCACAGATTATTGCATGTTTCAGTGGCTATTTTTGTAATGCTAGTATACTGTGTGTGTGTGTGTGTGTGAGCAAATACCCATAGATGTGCTCCTTGTCAATCGTTATGCTGTCAACCAGGGCCTTGAGTGTACTCTTTACAAAACATAAATCCAAAGTACTTCAGCGTGTAAATTAGGGCTGAAATCTGAGCATTGTGTCAGGCAAACAGAGAAAGAAAGAGAGAGAGAGAAGCTTTCTCTTGGGGTCGGATTCTGATGAGCATCATTAGTGGAGATTCCAACGCAAAGCAGCAAGACAGCTAAAATGCCTTTCCTAGCGAATAAAGCTAGGCATGTCGAAAGCAGAAATATGAATTTCTTGAGGGGGAAAAAAGCCTCCTGTATGAAAGCATGATGTGAAGCTGATGCCTTTCCACAGATTATTACATGTTTCAGTGGCTATTTTTGTAATGCTTGTGAACTGCATACTGCCAATTAATTTTTAAAAAAGTATGTGAACAAGTATGCAGTATATAATTACCGTATAGTATGCTACATTGTATATTAATTCACCAAGTGCTGTCCAGTTATTATCTCAGAGGAATGGTTATTTTTGTTTATTTATTTATTTTATATTTTTGAAAAATGTCTTTAACTTTTAGCATGGTTCTAAGAAAAGTTAAAAATCTTAAAAAATTAATATTACTTCCCAGTTCATTCATTGCAATAAAAATTAAAAGTCAAGTCCATTGCACGATGGGATACAATCTTTCATGCTGCCTGTTTTTAGCAATTATATAATATGTACTTATATACTTATTACAAGTGCAGTATAGGACATCTGAGTGAAATAACATACTGTGCATTTCTAAAATCTGACTATTTTCTGCATTGATTTGAATGAAAATCTTAAGGAATTTTTGAATGCGTTTAGAAATGGTCAAATCGAAAGCATAAAAAAAGAAAAGAAATGGCCAACATTTTTCAGACATAAATTCTTATGGGTGGCCCTCCTCTCACTCAGGCCCAGTGAGTAGGCTATAATATACAGGACCTCAATGGGCCCCCTCCATCACAGGGCCCAGGACAACGTTTCTGGTTGCCCCTGCTCATATGTAATTCTAAATGAGTGTAATGGTATATATCAGTGGAGTAGAGTACAGAGAGAGAGAGGAGAAAGAGAGAGAGAGAGAGTGGCTCACGTCTGATCAGTCATGTGGGGGGAATCAGCATGTGCCCTAATGAGCTTACCGAAGCAACTTCAATATCCTCCGATGTCATGTTGAAATGAAAATTAATAGTTCAATATGGCTCCACGCAAATGCCACATAACCCGTATGATGTGGCGTGACCAAATGAGTGTATTCTAATAGATGTAGGCAGAGGAGAAAAGCTGATATCTTCAGTAATCAGGGTTTTGAAAATTGCCTTTAAATGAAATTCAGGAAAGGATGGAAAAGAAAAGGGGGAAATGAGAAAAAAAAACAAAAAAACCCAGAGACATGGAATGAACATCTTTACCCCAAAATGTGCTCATGTCTTTCCCACAGGCTATGAGCTAGTCACCGCAGGGTTGACTTACCCACACGCACCCTTGGCCCTTGAATCTTGAGTCTCTGTTCATCTTCAGAGTCTAAACTAAGGTTTTGTCTCAAATAGCACACTTGACCCTTGCAGACCTTCTACGAGGCCACACTTTGGTGAAGTAATGTTGCTTGGACATAATGTTCTTGGGTCCTAGAACACTTAGAAGTCAGCCAAACCAGTATGGTTTACATACTTGAAAGAAGACCACGAGACTGCATGGCCACTTCAAGTGAGCCATTTGGGACGGGGCCGAAACGGAGATCTTTCAAATTCAAATCGAATTGTAAACTTCAGGGTAAAGCTAATAAAAAGCAACATGTAAAATGCATGCCACCTCATCTCCACGTACCTCCCATCCATAAGTGGTCTCTTTCACCGTGGCGCTCTGCAGCCCGTTGTACGGTCCGAAGCGTTCGCCCATGCAAATTTTGACTTTGGCCCAGATTCCTAGGCCAGCCCCTGGAACGGACGACTCACGGAGCTCCAGGTCGGCAGGGATGGGAATATCATCGGGAATGTAGACGGGCACCTCATAGGGTGAGCCCTCTTTAGGAGTGAAGTCCTCATTGCAGGGCTGAGGGGACGAGGGCCCCACCGCAATGGGGGACATGATGCTGTCTTCTGTCTCCTCTTCTGCGCTCTCGCCAGTCACGAGATTGGGCTCTGTGTCGTACATGCTGTCTACTGCCTCACTTTCATCTGAAAGACAATACAGAGACATTTGCAATACGTTAACAGGATAAAGAAATGCAAAGCACGTCAAATGTTCTTCAGCTTAATTTCTCCATACATGTTTAATTCGCTGATTGTAAAAGGGATAGTTGCACCAAAAATGTAAACTCATGTCACTCCAAACCCATGTGAGTTTCTTAATTCTACTGAACACAAAAGGAGAACTTGCATGCAGAATGTACATTTTCTGTGTAATGACAGTCCATAGTGACTGTGTTTCGGGCTCAAAAATGACTACAAATATCACCATAAACCTAGAAGTCTTGCACTATATCTTTCTTATCAAATCCACTGCCTTTTACACATAATTCTGTGGTGTTTTATTCGTTTTTGGAGCTTAACAGACACAACACCACAAGATAAGATAAAATAAAATAAAATAAAATAAAATAAAATAAAATAAAATAAAATAAAATAAAATAAAATAAAATCATACAAGGTTGGAAAAACCTGATAGCGAGTAAATTGACATTTGTGCATGAACTATCCCCTCAACTCTACAATCATTTTCTTTGCATGTTGAACATCTTGTGCTTTGAACATTTTTTTTTTTGAGGAAAATGTAAGTATGTAAGTGGTTTCATCAACTGGGGAAAAAAATCATTCTGAAAGTGATTCATGTCGTTACTGTAATGGTTGTGGTGTGGACTTCCCTATTCTCAAAAAATTTGAATGAATATTAAAATATTATAGTTTTTGTCATCATTATCATAATGTGAAAGGCCTTTAGTCTGTAAAAACTCCCTGTTCACAATGCTAGGATATTCTGGCTGGTTGCCAGGGTGTTGCTAAGTTGTTGTGAGTGGCCCGAGTCAAAAGAGTCAACCCCCGAGTCTCTACGATGTTCTGGTCTCTAGATGGGCTGGTCAACCCCCCCCCCCACCATTTTATTTTCCACAAAGCAAAAATCATAAGACAGATCACTTAGAAAAGTAATAGCATACCTTCTCAACAAATCATAGCTATCATTTGTATCCATAACATAAACGATGTGGCATATTTAATGTGCCAAAGTTTAAACCGTAGGGTTATGGGTTGTTCAAATTACTAACCATAATTATGTGCAAAATAAGTGTCATTCCATGTGGAGATTAAACCAGCAACCGTTCTGTCACAAGTCCAGGTTCTTAACCACTCTGCCACACCGACCAACAAGAGGCCACTGGCATCACTGAGCAATTGCAACAAGCATGAACGATACAACCCAAACCATTCATTTTTCTATTGCTGGTTAATATCTACGGTGATATGCACTGATCTGTGAAGAGGATTCTCTGCCTAAACCAGAAAACAGACACTCATGAAGGATTCATGGTTTAGTTAGATGATTTCTAACTCAAACAGGCCGCAGAAGAGAAGATGCCATCTATTTCATAGTCACCGCCGTTTCCTGTCTGATCATTTTACAAATAATGGCAGCAAACGACCCTGTGGCCTGACGCCACTGCCAGGCATCTATGTGTATTGTCAATCTTTGCTTGACAGCATAATTACGGTACTTATCATTCACGATTGCAAAAGGGATAACTCGGCTAAAAGTAGGTTATGTCTCTCTACATTGGTTTTTCTTGTATCACAAAGCACAAATCACATGCAAGCCCTTTAATATCATGCAAGGACCATCAGAGCTAGAGCTGTCAGTCTTTGAGATGCGAACTGACCCAAATTCAGTCTCTTCTCCAACACACGGCCTGACACATCTCACCTGAAACGATGTTCTTAAATTTCCTCGGCGGGACACAAGACGCCTTTGAGCGGTCTCCATGACGACAACTCTGCAAGTACACACGGATGGACTCGCTGTAATTTGTAGCAGCACCGCTGCAGTTTGCTATCCAAACACAGGACCAGCAATCAGATCTAACTAGGCCCCAATTACACCAGGAGTGCTTCTAATCAACCAGACTCTGCCCCCCTGCCAGCGCTGTTTATGACTCCAAACTGCTTTCTCTCACATTCAAACACTGTTTACTTATAAGCAACAGCAAAGCCATGAATAAGTATAAATTGTAGTTACTGCTAAGTTGGCTTTAAGTCAGACGACAGCGGTTTCACCCAGGCAGTTAAAAGGTAGAGAGAAGGAACAGGAGAGAGTGAACTAGAAGAAATGCTCTCCATGAAAAGCTTTGGAAAGTTTGATCTTTAACACAAAATTAATCAAATGCATTATTACTCCACGCTCTGGGATATTTCATTCTGACTGAATGAAATGTTTCATTCATTCTGTGGTCAATTATTTTGAATAATAACACTAAACTGCATAATTGATCATCGTCCCAGGCAACCAATTCTCTGCAGTCACCCAAAAATGAAAAATCGGTCATTATTTATTCAGTCTCACGTCGCACCAAACCCATGCTTCCGTTCATCTTCGAAACACAAATGAAGATATTGTTAATGGAACTTGAGTGATTCACCCAAATGGACACGTCAAAAAAAAATAAAAATAAAAAAAGAAATCCATTACACAATGTAACAACAATTTGTTTCATTTAGTTTTTTATGGTTCTTCTGTAATTCTGTGGTGCTAATTATTATTGTACAACTTATTTTCACATTGCATCAATATTTTGGTCAATATTTAGATCAGGTACATTTTAGACCTTCTATCATTAATTATGAAACATTGGTTTAGTAAGATAAGATACTGTGAGTTTTTGTACTATTTATTTATTTATTAAGATGTTGCTTTTGCAAGGATGGGAACATTCTAGAAGTTTCTGTAACATTCTGTAATATTCTAGTGCTATATAATATATATTATTTTTCATGAGCACTGTTAATGATAAACAAAAAGTAATGTGATTTTTGTGTTCAGCATGTCAAACTTCTTAAAGAAACATTAAGATTCTTTATGAAGATTAATTTTAATGTTTCTTTATGAAGTTTGACACAACTTTTACAAGCTAATCTGTTTCTTTAAAGAGAAACAAACTTTTTATAAAAAAATTGTTTCATGGTGTAACCGTGCAGTTTAATCCAAGTCCTCTGAAGAGATACGGCCACTTTATATGATGAACAGATTTAATTTAGGCTTTATTTACATATAAACATTGATTAGCGCACATGAATAGAGCACATAAAATGGTAAGCAGAAGCACAAAAGTACTTGCTCAAAGTATGAGAACCAGCAAGGTTTATTTTTGCATGTCGTGCAAGGACATTTGAGCTACTGCAAGAACTACTGACGGTGAGTAACTGATGACAGAATTTTCACTATTGGTAATTACTATGTTGTAGCTTCCCATGGTCACTTACAGTATGCAAAAGTTGTTTCGGGGCTGGAGATGCAAATGTTTGTGACAAAACCTTTTTCTAAAAAACAACAATTCTGAGCAATCAAGGAGTGTTTCATAAAAAAGCTCCACAGTAAAAAAATTAAAAGCTTTTAAAAAAGAGATCCTGTGTCATCTTGAGATTTTGAGGGCAAAGAAATATCTTACCAATTTCTTTAATGATCAGACTTTCATAGGAGTCTCAAAGCAGCCAGGCAATTAACTCAAGAACATGTGGCCCAGTAGTAGCTTCCCCTTTTCACAGATCAGTTAAAGTTTTATAACCACTGCCTATCTGGTGCTGTTTGCAAGAATCAAACGTGTTTTCAAACCATTAAAACTTGTTTTCCCTTCTCATTTTTGGCATATGACCCAAGTCAATTTTCAACAGCCATGGAAAGGGTTGGAAAATCTATTAAATACTCCAGTTAAAAAGCCTGTAGTGTACAAACAGATAGCTACACTGAAAGAGTGAATTAAATGACATTTGATGAACAAAACAACAGAACCATCAGAACGCAAATAAATTTGTATTTTTTATTTTTTTTTGAGAAGGTACAAACATATATCTAAGTTGGAGTTGGTTAGGACACAAAAAGAGAATTCTGAGGGCATTTTCAGATCTGTAGATTGTTTGCTTTGTTCCAAAAGCAATATATAGCCTATATATGAAGAGTTCTTCATAAAAAAAGTTGTTTTTGTCTGTGTTGTGGTTGCTTGTTTGTTGTTTGCATATGGTTTACTGTTGGCTGTAAAACAAATTGCCCTTCGGGGATAATAAAGTTGACCTTGACCTTGACCTTGACCTTCATTTGCAAAAACTGATAACTCCATTTTTATAAATCTTTTTAAGAAATCACGTTTTTTTATTGAGCATTCCAAGTAATATCAGTCAAACTGCAGTTGGGTTGTTTTCATTAAGTAATAATACCTTAAACAAATACAGGTAATTTACAAAATTAAAGTTCATTGAAAGTATGTGTTTTATACGTATTAAAAGTTAGTTTTATAGCAAAAGCAGATAACTCCAACAGTCGTTTTTTGGCAAAAGCAGATAACTCCACATTTCATGTTTTAGAGTTTAAAAAAACACT